ACACACACACACACACACATACATTTATTACAATTTTTAAATGACATAAATTACATGCATAAATCTTGACCTGCATTTAGCTATGCTAGTCTAGGCGGGCCAGATTATTAAAGTAATATTAACTATTGTTGATTGGTCTAACGAATTATTAGGTATTTACATTAAATAATTAGATATTTACATTTCAAACTTTTATTTTACTTTAACAGTTTTTATTTTATCACACAATGAAATCTAACGTTTTGGATAAAATTAAAATTTTGATGTTCATTTTCTCATTCAAATTTGCAAACCATTAAACTTGTATGCAATCATGAAGTGTGTCTTATTTAAAAATTTAAAAATTTTCCCATTAAAAAAATTTCTACTACGTTTCTAGACCCCGTATGGTGGGTCTCGAATAAAAGGGGCAATGTACCAATTTCCCGCCAAATCCACGGGAATCCGGCATGAATTGATTAAATTTTGGTGCCGAGAACAAACCTTTTTTGGGACATGTTCCTCTCATTCCACCCTCCCTACACTATTGAGCTCTACATTCATCATTGACTTTAAATATTAAACATACTAATATTACAATTATTAAATGTATATATAAATAAGTAAATATATAAAAATGTAAATATAAATATAAATATGTAAATATATCTGTATATCATAACAATATATAATTGCCAATGGTGAGAAATGTCATTTAACGTGATATTAAGACTGTGCATTTTTTCAGGTGTTTCTTAAAAACATTCTCCTGTTCCTCTTCTTTCCAGGATCTTCCCCAACCTCAACCAGTGCAAGTGAAGATCTCCAATGAGTTGTTTGGAGAGGCTGTCATGGTTCTTGAATTCCTCAGTGTTTTTGGTTCACTCTTTGACATTAAGGATGAATTCCCATCTGGTCTTAATTACTGTAAGCATTTTCTTTGTCTGAATTGCTTTTCTTAGATAATTTTTTGACTGTTTATCTTGAAAAAATTAGGATAATTTATGATAATTTTTTTAGTTGCGTGTATTTTGTCTTTGTCAAAGTTTTCATTTTCCCCCATTCACATAATTACTATACTTTTGCATAATCCATTGTAATTTTAGTCATGAAACACTGAAGTCTCCTGATATACCCAAAGCAGTATCTTTATCAATAGACCTCCTTGGCCTGGACGTAATGTTGTCCCATTTCAGACCATGTGTCATTCCCTAGAGTATCCTTTCTTGGTTCAACGGTTGCACATGAGAAGACACATGAATATGGATACAACTCGAACAAAGAATCTCATTCTCAAGACCATGTGTCATTCTCTAGAGTATCCTTTCTTTGTTTAATGGTTGCACATGAGAAGACACATGAATATGGATACAACTCAAACAAAGAATCTTATTCTCAAGACCACGTGTCATTCCCTAGAGTATCATTTCTTTGTTTAGGGTTTGTGCTTGGTTGCACAAGAGAAGACACATGAATATGGATACAACTCAAACAAAGAATCTTATTCTCAAGGGAATGACACATGGTCTGAAATGGGACAACATTACGTCCAAGCCGAGGAGGTCTATCGTACGATATACCTTTGTCACTTGGGTATCTTCACATTCATTCACTTCAGGATGAGTTTAAAAATGCAGGRAAAAAAAGGAAAAAATAACCGTGGCTGTTGAGTGATAAAGGTCTATTCAATGAAAACAAAATACTCAATAAGTTGTAGTTAACTATTTAACTAATAAAATAACGATAGAACTAATTAAATGTCTGTTGTTCCTTGGCCAAAACTCAAAGGAGTGGATTATTTGGAAGAGCACATTTTGGACTAATTTTTTTCATTTCTTTTGAGCAGCGATGCTTGAAGAAGCCTTAGCAGAGCAAGATGCAGAAGGTGTTTTCTATGACTTACTACAATTTCTTCTGGGTGCCATCCTAAGAACACACATGGAGGAAGAAGAAGATGAGGGACTTGAAACTGCTGATGCTCAGACACGCATAGAACTAGATGATGAAGATTATCACAGGGCTAAGGTGTCGGCATCAGCTGCTATGGCTGCTGTATGGCCCATACTGCATCAGGGAAAGCCACTACATGAACTTATTATGGATCCATTTACATGTACAGAGCTGTTGAGGCTTCACCTCTTGTCATCAGGTGCAAGAGTTGGTAAGTCATAGAAAATATTGCAGGAAATATCATCCTACCATGCATTAAGCTATTCTTCCATCCTTACATCTCTCTGTGCTATCTAGATAACCATTCTTCACTCCTGTCCACCTTTCATCACTTCATCTTAGTATTTATCCATTCATTCATCTTCCACCTATMCATGATGCATCTATCCTTCTATCTATCTCTTTATCCATCCATACAATCCACTCTTCCATCATACCATTTTTTGATTCATCCATTCATCTCTCTATCCATCCATCCCATCCATCCGTCCGTCCGTCCATCCGCCCGCCAATCCATTTGTCCGTTCATCCATCCATCCATCCATCCATCCATCCATCCATCCATCCATCCATCCATCTATCCATCCATCTATCCATCCATCTATCCATCCATCCATCCATCTAAATAAAAGTTGATTCTTCTTCTTCTTATTATCCATCCATTTTACCCTCCATCCATCCATCCACCTATGCATTTATCCATTCTAACTGTGTGTGACTTGTGTCTTCAGGCTGTGGTGATCCTCAATATCGTTGGCAAAGTCGTGGTGGTTTCACCTACTCAGATGATGCTGGTGTTGAATTTCGCCATCGTGAACCTCAAATCATGAAAGCACTGGTGACCAGTTCTGTCTATGATTTATCTGCTGAAGAGAAACTCAAGATCCTGATAGCTTTATGTGGACAGTTAATGACGTACGCAACTTCAAGGGAACACATCGAAGATGGCTTTGACAAGTAAGCTAAGTTATTAAAATCTTATAATTGGCTATCTGATTTTCTATGAAGAATAAGCTTGAGTCCCTGGGTTGCAAGATATTTTACTCTATGTACTCTTAGTGTGTCTGAGGGCTCAGACTTGGAGATATTAATAATAAAAATTATTTGTTATTTATTTCTCTGTTGAAATTTAAAAAGTCATTGGAAACTAATCTTTGGGTTTGTTGATCAGGTTGAAGAAAGCAAGACGGGAGTGGCTTTCAGACCAGTGGGCAGAGCAGCGGCGAGAAAAGGAAGAAGCTGCCGCCAGATACCGTAAACGACAAGAAGAACGCATGAAACAGAAAGAAGAACTGGAAAAAAAGAAAAAGGAAAAGGACAATGAGAACAGCCAGGAGGATGCAGGAAAACCCGAGGCCATGGAGACAAAGTAAGAACGTTTTTTCCCTCTAAAATATAGTTACTGTATTGTGTTTGTAAAACGTTGGAATTCGTCTTTTCTTAGTCTCAAAGATGAAGACAAAGCTGCCAAAGACGCTGAGACAGCCAAACGAGATTCTAAGAAAGGAAAAAGCAAAAAGAAAAGTGGCAAAGATTCTGAGGAGAAAACTAACGAGAATGAGAATAAACCAGCTATTGAAGAAAGTGAGAATAAACAAGGTCTGTATGAGAATTTAGCTAATTATTTATCGTGAAAAAAATATTTTGGAAGGTGTTAGTCGTCTTTTTTCATGGTAAATTTATTTATTTAATTCTTCATTTTATTTCTAAGAAATTTAGAAATCATACTACAACATTCAAATGGCTTCTGCCCTGAACCAATCAAAATCCATAAAAAATATAATGGACCAATTACAGTGATTGAATTTGGAAACCATTTGAGAGTCGCAGTGCCGCGCATTTTCCCGATTTCTTAAAAATCATCATTTTAATGAACTCAAAAAACATATTTGAGGATTTTATTTAACAAATTTATATTTATAAAATATATATTTTGCAAATTAAGGAATTAGCACGGAAAAACAAGCTTAGTTGGAGAAAAATACAGATTTTCTTAGCAATCCCCCGCGGTTAGTAAAGCAAAAAATAGTGGCATAAAATAGTGAACAAACAGTTTTGAACAAACCATTAAAATATTCAAATTGTTCTTGAACTGAAGTCAAACAAGAAAGCTTTGACGTCAGATGTACGTGTAGTGAGGTATGAAGAGAATCCCCGCGGCCGCCTGTCGTGCTACAAAACGCCAGTAAGATTATTTATTCTTTCAAATCAGGTAGAATTTGTTTTATTCTTCAGAGCTCGAACGCTGGTTTTTCGCCTGATAGGAATTATTTGAGAATTTTTATCATCAAGAATACATAAATGAAAAGTCGTTAGAAATAGAAATATGACATAAAAATGTTTTCGGACTTGATAGCTTTTGGTAGTGAAATTGTCTACGTTTGAAAAATTAGAGTGAGTAAAAATATATTGGGAGTTTTGTGTTCTCATATGGATCTCTGTTTGTTTTTAAATAGAAGAAGTTCAGTTGCTGTCAAAGGAAGAAGAAGAAGAACTAGCCATGCAGAAGAAGATCGATCGTGAGCGTCGAGAGCAGGATTACTTGAATGAAATGCGTAAAGCTGTGTCCATGAGCAGTATTCAGCCACTTGGTCGAGACAGAATCTATCGACGTTACTGGATGTTTAGATCCTTGAACGGCTTGTACATTGAAGATGACGATCCGRACTTACCGAAGTTTCTGGAGACGATTTTTGAAGAGGAAAACTGCGAGGTAAAGAGGTGTCACTAATTCTATTAATACTAGTTTGTTCTGAACTGCATAATAATATAATACTTTTTATCTTATTGGATAATTGTCGTTGTTTTTTGTTTTTGTTTTTTTTTTTGTTACAAAAAGTAGAGAATTACTATTTGAGTTTAAAAAATAATCAAAAAATGTTTTGGTATTCAACATTTTCTTTTTTTCGCGGGAGGAAGGGAGGGAGAAGAGTAGAAGTGGATGGAAGAGATAAAGAAAGGAAGAAAAAGCGGGAAGAAAAAGAGCGTTACCAGTAGAGATTTTATTCGGTTTTTCAACATATTTTTCTGAACACTGAAATATTAGTTTAAAAAAGATTATTTTACCAATTATGTTAACATTGTTCTTTTGAGATCAACTTCAACCACAAATTGTCTCTCGAATCTCATTTAACTCGATGCTTTTGGTCATAATAACGTATTTAGAATATGATTTACGTCACCTCCAGATTATTCTACGTCACGCGAAATTCGTGTTGCGTCATTAAGCCGTATTTGAATGTGATTCATTAACAATAAATATATTAAAAATTTACAATGCTTTGAGATAAAAACTTGCTGAAGGCAAAAATTTCATCTTACTCGTAATTGGACCGATTTAAACCAATCACAAGACCAGAAAATTTTTAAATAAAATCACAAGACCAAGAAAAGTAGTCGCTGACCAATCACAGAGCCCTGATACGGAAGCCATTTGAGAGTCGTGTAAAATGTTACCTTTTCACTCGTTGGCATTAAAAGCTATTTCCGTTGCGACTTAAAAATAACATCTCGCAATTTAAATTTATTATTTCGTTATGTTTTAGGAAGAGCAGCAAGAATGCGATAATCAAGAGAAAACGGAGGAAAACCAAGACCAAGGTACCGAGGGGGCTGACAAGAATGAGAGCAAGTCCAATGACTCAGTTGGGGCGGAAAAAGAACGTGGAATTCAACAGAGTGCAGACAAATTAACCGGATTAAAATCAGCGTTGAAGAGTGACTTTGATAAGATGGCCAAGGATAGGGTGATAACAAAATCCTTGAACATGCAACAGAAAGCAAAACGATCCGAGGTTATCGCTAAGTACAGCGACAGGGAGGAGATAACTCGATGGTCCTTCATTGCTGGAGTCGATGACTTGGAGAGTCTTGTCAAGTCTCTAAACCCTCGAGGACATCGTGAACGACTACTACGTGAAGCTTTACAACTAGACTACAAGTACCTCTCTAAGACCATTGAAAAATGTCCGTTTAAAGAAGAAAACATCGTCCCTAAAAAGGCCCCAAAACCTAAATCCCGCAAACAACAAACAGTTGATAAAAGCCAGTTTAAGAACACAGAGGATTTCGTTGAAGCCAACCTTCGCGACCAGATCTTGGATCTGGAAGATCGGCTCTGGCAGGGAGGGTTAGGAGTTGTTAAGGTAGAAGATCGTGCTGCGTGGAGAGCTAAAGTCGAAAATGGGATATACAGTCATTTAGACAAGACTGGAGACACGGAGAACAAAGAAGCAGGGGTGAACGGTGTAAAAGAGAACGAAGTCAAGGCCGAAACAGATAGTGATGTGTCCATGAAGGAAGATGAAAAGAAAGACAAAACGCTCGTTAATGGAATGAATGATAAACCAATGGACGAGGAAGTGAAAATAAAGGAAGAAAAAGAGGACGCAAAAGAAGCAGTGCTGACAAACGGAGACTTTGACGGCAGCGAGATAGATACGGAACCAGAACTAGTCAAAGTCGAAGCTCAGACGAAGGAATCCGTGCCAGACGAATCTGTTTTTAAAGCAATTCCTCCCCATTTGAAGCTTGATCTTGGCAAAGGCCGCACTTCCTTCTCACCACCTGACTCGCGCACAGGGACCCCTGTCATTAGCTTGGCACCAAACTTCGAGCATACTAACCCAGCCGTGAAAGAACTGGCACTAGCTCTTCTAAAGGTGTGTTTTGAGTCGGTCCAATCAATTAATTTCTTAATTCTTGTTATTTGTTCTTTGTTTGGCTTTCTGAGTTTAAAAATGTCTTTATTTGTTCCTAGGTTGAGCAAGGAATAGAATCGAAGTATTTAAGTCCTCCTCTCGGAGAAGACGAAGAAACCAAACGCCAAAAGCAGAAAGACGCTGCAGCTCTTGCTTTAACAGAGTTCAACGAAATGATGAAAGCTGCAGTCGAAGGGAAAGACAAAAAGAAGAAAGCCAAAACCGAACAGAATGAGAAAGATGGCTCCGAGACGAAGAGCCCTGTAAACGAAGACACCGAAGATGGCGAGACAAAAGAAGACGACGATGATGACCGAAGTAGTAACTCAAGCAAAGCTAAAGACCCGCCAAAACAGAAAACGTGCCTTGAACGTTGGGAAGAATCCCTTATGGCCTGCACAAGTCTCTCTCAAGTATTCGTTCATCTTAACACTCTCGATGGATCTGTGACTTGGAGTAAATCGGTGTTGAATGCGCGATGTCGGCTGTGTAGGAGAAAGGGCGACGCAGAGAAGATGTTACTGTGTGACGCTTGTGATCGCGGTCATCATATGTATTGCCTTAAACCACCGATCAAAGAGGTTAGTAAAGCAATGCAGCAGGACCAGAAAATTGGCGCGAAGAAGAAATATTAATGAAAGATTTCGGGGAAATGGCGGGAAAATAGCAAACATCTATATTATTGGTGAAAGATGGCGGGAAAACCGCGAAGCACCAGAAAATTGGCGGGAAAATAGCGAACTCCTACTATTGGCTGTGAAAGATGGCGGGGAAACACGTTTGCCACACAACCATACATTTCTAACATAGTGTTTTTAAGAAAAATTTACTCTCAAAATATTGAACATATTACTCTCATGTTTTCAGTAGTTACTAAATAAGACATTCTCTTTCGATTTCTGGAGTCGGTTTGCTCGTAGCTTGATTTTTTTCTATACTATTGAGGAAAAAACGTAAATAAAGATCGGCCTATGAACACATGGCAACACTGAACCCTTATAATCGATTTATTAAGAACAGTTATCTGCCTTATATTTGAACGTTTTATTGGGTATTTCTGTTTTACTGACTGGATTACTCCAACATTTTAAATCAGATTCCAGAAGGTAACTGGTTTTGTCCAGATTGTCGTCCAAAAGAAACGAGACGAAGCGAACGAAGACGAAGAGCACCTCGCGCGGCAGACGATGAAGACGAGACCGATGAACAGGCAGAAGATGACAGTGATAGTGAAACAGAAGAAGAAAGCGAAGAAGAAAGTGACACAGAGGAAGATAGCGACGAAGGTAAAAATAATAAGTGAAAACTGACGAAACATTTCTCGTAAACTGTACTGACTCCATTATGGCGGCTAGTGACACACGAATTTGACCTCTTTTTTTTTTACAGAAGAAGTTAGCGATGCAGATTCGGAGCATGTGGATATGTGTGCACAGTGTGAACAAGGTGGTGAACTACTTTGCTGTGATGTTTGTCCTCTTGCTTATCACGTGGACTGTGCATATCCACCCCTTCGACGCATACCGCGAGGGAACTGGGCCTGTCAGGTTTGTACTGGTGCTGACGAGGAGCGCCCGAAGAAATGTAGAGTCAAGAAATCAATAATCAAAGGTATAAGACACTCCTTTACTAAATGGCTAATATTTCGCGCATGCGCATGTAATAAATTCATTTCCCAGCAACCAGGGGCGCTTTCCATTTACCCGGAAAAACCGTAAATTCAGGTTGGAAAAACAAATGGTTTGTGTCATTCCGATCGGAACGTTCCAGAAAACTCGGTCTTCCAATTCAGGTAATCCACTCTTCCCGCTCTTCTCGGTTCTTCCGGTAGACGCGTGTTCCAGTTTTCGGAAGTCAAAGTTTCCCGCTCTTTCCTTAATTACTATTACTGAGGAAACGAATTTCCAACCGGATGGCTTGGTTTAAATGGAAAGCACCCAAGTATAACTAGCTTAACCTGTTACGTTAATTTTGTTCTCGATATAGCTGCTCTTCGTAACGCAAAAGAGATCGAAAAGCAGAAGTCTGGTCGAAGTTCTAAATCGAAGAAGACAAAAAGTAACAAGCGTTCCTTGTCACCGGTGACACCAAAACAACGAGGAAGAAAAGAGAGCACTGATAGTGGACCAAAATCATCAAAACGACGCAAAGTACAAGAATCGTCGTCATCAACAACGCCGTCATCAGCCGCACTAACTACGTCTACAAGAAGTAAGCGAAATATACCCGCTTCTCTTCGAATCAAAGGCCGCTCATCGGTCGATTCATCTCGTTCTCCATCACCCGTCCGAAAGGCGCCTATGAGGCGCGATCCGCGTGTTACTGGTAGACTTATCAAATGTGGAAGGCTTTTGGATGAAGTTATTGGGCATGCTGACGCTGATTTCTTTACTGAAAAGATTAGTCTTTCTAAGGTATGAAAACAATACGAACAAGTGTCCATTGGTTTCACAGTCTACTCCCATTATACAAATAAATGACTATATATGGCTCATCAAGAAATGAGAAAGTAGAGAGTCCGCTTATCTTTATGTGTTCTAGAATCCATATTTAGAATCTAGTGTTTTAATATGTTCTATGTCTTTTTTCTCCTTAGTTTCCAAACTATAATCGTAACCCAACAAATCTGGAAATCATCAAGACAAACCTTAGAGAAAATGCTTATGATTCTGTGGAGGATTTCATTTCCGATGTCAGAAAAGTATTTATAGACTGTGCCGAACATTTCCGACCGAGAGCGAAGGAAGCCCGAGCTGGCGTCYGGCTCTCGGCTTTTTTCGAGACACGTTTATCTGAAATGGGACTTGACACAAGTGAGAGATCTGTGCGAAGCTGTCGAAGGATGTAAATGTGCTTGTTCGACATTACGGTTGTAAAACAGTTTCGTTTGGTTTGATTGACTGACAAGAAGCCATTTATATGTTGGCATCAGGATTGTTTTCTAAAGGATGTGTCCTGCAAGCCTTCAGAAAAATAATACAAGTTGTGTGAAAGTAAATCTCTCACCTTTTCAGTGCCTTACTAAACATGAAGACTATCTTCGGTAATGAAGAAACCATGCGAATAACCTAGACAGTACTGTTAAGGCAGGTCACAAGAGGATTTCTGCAAATTTTGAATCTCATTCTCAGAATATGACATGCATTCTCAATGCATTGAACTGTACATGCATGCATTTTATGTTTTATTATTATTTCGTCGTTCCCCCCCCCCCCCTACATTCTTTACTTGATTCTTGCAATGTGATTATTAAGTCATTAGACATTTATCATAGTGTTGTAAGCCTTAGAATCAAATGTACATTCAACTATGATACTCAGTGAACTAAAATGAATTTGGAATATTTCACTCTATGTGTTTGTTTTTTTCGAATGGTCATACTCGCAAGGCATTATGGTTGGATGTACAAATTGAACTCTTAAACCCACAACTGCAACAAGTGTGCACTAAAGGTGTGAATGAATATTGAAGTGCAAGGAAAGAGATTAGCCTTTGAGAGGGCCAGACCCTGTCTCCTTATCCTCCTGTACAACCCCAGGGGTGGATCCAGGATTTTATTGAGGGAGGGGTGCTGCACACGAAATTAACCCAGGGTGGGGGGAACGCCTTAGGTCAAATCGAAAAAACCTAATTTGTTATCTTTGAAGTAGGGGCACAAAGTCAAACCAGGGAAGTTGTACATCCCCTGCACCCCTCTCTTGGATCTGCCCCTGAACCCTATACAGGTTTACCTCATAATGCCCATCATACCATAGTGGGCACTACTGTGGCATCTTTTCTGGTACCTCATGAAATACGTCTGATAGTTTTCACTAAAAAAAACTTGTTTTGATTTGCTTGAGAATTGTGTGTGAGCATCATTTTAAGCTTCTAGTCGTAAATCTTTGAGCTACAGTCTACACATTTTTTGCTAAGAGTTAGTATCAGGATTCAAACTTTTCACATCAACTCCCAATGTACCCCCTAATAATGAATCTGTGGATAATGAAACAAAAACTTCTGTTTTCTCTCCAAGTTGGGAATTAATTGCTTCAAACAGTTAGAGTAAGGACAATTTTATATATAAAAAACGATCAATCTAGTGATGTATATATGCATACTTTATATCTTGTAATAGCAAACAAGGTGTGTTTTTCAGTTTTTCTTAATTCCCAGGTTTCAAACTCAAACCCCCCAAAAGACATAAAGAAAATACTGTAGCAGGCAAATTTTAACCAAGTTGTGCAGCCTTCATTGTCGCTTATATTAACGAGCTATACTCAACAAAAACAATTGTATTTCAACATGTTTTTTTATCAGGACAAATGAATGGAGCAAGGATAGAAGTGTTGTGCAGGATTGAAATGAACAAATGCTTTGCTCAAGAATGTTCCTAATCACTATTGCATGAGTTGTTTAGATGCTGGAAAGCTTGACAAAATAAGCTACATGCTATAACGTGCATAAAGACAATATATCTTTATAAATGGTTTATAATAAGTATGATGAACAGAGGTGTTGAAATAAAACTGGGATTTACAATGATGTATGTATTTGTTTCTGAAACATGTGAACTCAGTTTGACCAGGGGTGTAGTCAGGATTTTGCCTTTGGAAGAGGGGGTTAAAACTCATCAAAACATGTGCCCACGTTCCCCTCCTCCCCTTACTCTGTAGAAACTTAATCTTCTCTGTAGTCATGGGATAGAGTGAAGTCATCATACCCGATAAAACACTCCTGCTCGTTTATTAAACATACTTAGTAGACCACAATTCCATGGTTTTCTTTTGTGTCTATTTGACTATGTTAAATGCCTTCACTCTAAATTCTTACTCTTCGATCAGTTTCTTTTTTTCAAATGGTTGGATATAGATGTATTTTCTTTCCTCTTTTCTTTCTCTTCTTTCTTTCTATCTTTCTTTCTCTATTTCTCTCTATTAACATTTCTAGGTGCTGGTATACCTGTGTTATTTGTTATTCCGCTGACCATCATACATTAGTCTCATCCATCCCATAATCCCAATCGAGTGCATCATCTCAYCTATATATAAAGGTCTGTTGTCCTGGCTCAACGCTCTCACAAAATTTCATTTATCTCGTGTTTCTTGCATTATTACGAATTCATATCTCGCAGAAAGAACCTTAACAACTCTTAGGATAATTCTCTGCTGAGAAACCAGCGAGAGAATGAGCCAAGAGGACGAAAACCGCTATGGCGCCGGCAGTTCTCTTCAGGTACGTGTTTATTCTCACCTTCCTTCTTGGATGCAGGGAGTCCTTCATATCGCCTCGTTATTTTTTTGAATTATTCCTAAAAATCTTTTCGCTATTCAAATTAATAGCTTTCACTGTCCTTTTGCAAGGCTCCGTTGATTTTTCTTCCATGAATTTCTCGCTATTTTCCAAGCTTGAAGAATAAGATAATGGGTGAACGTTTCTGTAAAGTTTTGTCTTATCAAACTGTCAAGTATAGTGAACTTATAAACTGTTATGATTATAATGGATGTATTAATGTTATACGAGAACAGTCATGTAAATGGTTTGTTCAACTCATAAACTGGCTACCTATAATGAGAATAAATTTAATAATTTTCCTTGTTTTCTAGGCACATGCAGGTATAATGACACCAAGCCCAGGAATGTCAACGACTACAGGCTTACCAGGAGGGTTGGCTGCCTATCCCCATACCCCTAGTCCCATGCCACCCCTAACACCTATGACCCCCATGACACCAATGACGGCTGAGCAGTCTGGTATCATCCCACAGCTACAGTAAGATATGCTTCTTTTTTTCACGGGCATTAGGGGGTATTTGTGTGATGAGAGCATTTTTAGCTTGTGAAGAGTTATCAAGGTGGCTAGATTTCACATTTTTCGGATAATGCTTCTCAGACAATCAATTTGGGTAATTCCCATAACCATGGAATCCATTTTATTCGCCAAGTGACGTCACTGGAAGAATCCACGTACGTTGTTTGCAGAGGAAGCCATTTTGGATTTTCGATCACTTCATAACCAGCAGCGTATTTATCATTAAGTTGGAAGAAGAATCCGAAAACAGCCTGGTTTCAGTATTGGAAAAGAAAGGTTTCTAGCCAATCAGAAGCCAGTAATTTAATTGATAAGACAAGAGTTTGTTTGCACAAAACATAAATCTGACTTAGTTCATTGGTACTCAAAAAGCTTCAGGAGCTTACCATGGGTTACCTTTGATTCTTACTTTTCATGATCTGCGATGAGGAAAAATTATATTCTTTGATTTATGATTCTAGCATGTTCTAAAATTCATGAATCGTGAATGTGTAATATTAATTTCAGGGAACCATGATCATCTTTTTTTAATTGTTATAAACTGTGTGGAGACCCCCATTATCGCCCCTGTTGTTTGTCTTAGCAGCAATGAATGTAGTTCCAGAAAATCTCCATATCCCTGGGATATTTAAAAAAAAGAAAACTAAAGAATTCCCTTCTCTTGAGAATAATTTGAAGTATATTTTGATGTCAATGTTTCTTGTTGTGAACCCTAATAGGTAATGATTCAGTATAATGGGTATATTTAACAATCTTTCCATCTCTTCGATTGTAGGAATATAGTTTCAACAGTGAATCTTGGATGTAAATTAGACCTCAAGAAAATTGCACTGCATGCCAGGAATGCAGAATACAACCCCAAGGTATAGTAATGCACTAGTTATATATTTTATTCCTAAATCTGCTTCTTGATTAACTGGTAATTTGCTTTTTTTTTTTTCCAGCGTTTTGCAGCCGTCATCATGAGAATCAGGGATCCAAGGACTACAGCTTTGATATTCAGTTCAGGAAAGATGGTCTGTACTGGAGCAAAGAGGTATTGATTCAATTATTTCATCATTTTATTGCTAAAAACTTCTTAATTTTTTTTACTCTGTGAAATTACTGTTAATTCACTTCTTTTTATTGAACCAATAGGGTGTGCAGTAATACTGCCTAACCAATCAGAATGCACAATGTGCACCACTGCAACCTTACCATTAATGAAATAAAAAATGTATCAGTGTACTAAACATCACTCTTTCATTTCTTTGCTAGTGAGGAACAATCAAAACTTGCTGCTAGAAAATATGCCCGTGTTGTACAGAAGCTTGGCTTTCCTGTATGTAAACAGACCACTTTACTTCATTCCCTAGAGTATCATTTCTTTGTTTATACCTTTCACTACTAGAGGCTAAAAGGGTCCAACACAGGCTCTTCCTGGAACATAATTAGGGTGTTTTTTATTTCTCAATATCAAAATGAAAAACATATGCTCAGTAGATATTGAGGCCTTATAACACACATCAAAGCAGTTAATAGATTCTGATTGGTAAATGATTTAAAACAATGGCCCATGTGTTTCAACACATAGAAATCTCCTAGAGGATGGATAATCGAAAAGCAAAAATGTCTCTCCGCTGGCCGCTTAGCTGCTCTAGGAGAAATGTCGCATTTCTGGATGCCGCTTTTGGCCGCTCTAGTAGTGAAAGGGTTAATGGCTATGCATAAGAGGACAAATGAATATGGGTACAACTCAAACAAAAACTCTCTTATTCCCAAAGGAATGAAAAATGAAATGGGAACACACATTATGCCCAGCAGGGTAGAGATCTGTTCTCTTAATAACTCAACAATCGTTTTGGCTTTTTTTTTGACTGACAGCTTTTTTTCTTACTGAACAGGCAAAGTTCACTGAATTTAAAATCCAGAATATGGTAGGAAGCTGTGATGTAAAGTTTCCTATTAGACTAGAAGGGTTGGTGTTAGCACATGGACAGTTTTCAAGGTATGTTGATCTTGTATGCTGTTTCCTAATAAAGGAATAGACCTCTTGCATGTGACATCAAAGCAGCTTATTTTCAAGCACAAAATTAAAGAGTTTCATTGTCTTGGGAATTGGAAACCTATTGTTATGTCCTCTAAATTGAGCTGCATTCCAACGTACTGCAACTGTGGTCTATAGAACAGGTTTTTTTATCAATCAAGACCTGTGAAGAACAAGTAAACAAAGCAATAAAAGAAGAAAGATAACAAAATGAATAAAACAAGTGAAAGAAAAAAAGTCTAAAGGTCATTTATAAATAATATACATGTATAAACAAATATTTACATTCAAAAACATTCTTTTGTTATATTTCATGATATTTCCTCATTTTTTCTTCCAGTTATGAACCAGAGTTATTTCCAGGGCTTATCTATCGAATGGTAAAACCAAGAATTGTTCTTCTCATTTTCGTATCTGGCAAAGTTGTACTGACAGGTGAGAAGACAGTAATATAAGCACACAATTTTTCTTTCGAGCCTTGAATGATGATTTGATATTCAAAATGTGGTTGTACACAGGAATAGGTATTAGAAAATTTAAGAAATGATACAACACAAACAAAGAATTTTATTCTCAAGGCAATGACATGTGGTCTGAAATTGGCAAAACATTGTGCCCAAGTGGATTTGGTCCACTAGTGCATTATCAGGGCAACAGCTAGCAATACAGTTTTATACATGACTAAAAACTGCATCCATGCACATTGGTCGCACATCGTTTCTAGTCAACATAAAAAACTGTCTCGCTAGCCCTTGTCCTGATTTAAAATATGTAAATTTAGGTGTAAGAAACACAATTTTCTATTAATTTTTTTAAATAGATTTATACAGTGCATGGTGCAAGTATATACAGCTGGGCCCAATATTGTATGGAGGGTGGACAGTGCTATCTGGCAGATAAATCTTATCCAGTCGATAAATTTATTGAATAACAGCATTGACTCATCCACTGGATAAGGATTTGTCTGTCGGATAGCGCTATCCACCCTTTGTACAACTAGGTCCTGTTTTGAAAAATGCTGGTGAAGTTTTTTTAGCATTCCAAGCCTGAAATGCACTGTGGGAACATGAATCCACTCAGTGAAAATTGAAAACCATGTAGACTTGGAAGTTTCTTAAATATTGTATGTGAGTTGTTTTTGCAGTCTTTTCTTCTGTGCTGAAAATATTTACATATGATCCAAAATGCATTCCAGGATTGGTAAACAACATGCAAGAAGACCTTCATATTGCACTTTTCATTATCCAAGTAGTTATTTCAATGGGCTTTGCAAACCAACGTTCTTTATATTTTCTGAAAATATTCTCATTTCCATTTAATACTTTTCTTTTCAGGAGCCAAAGTTCGTAGTGAAATTTATGAGGCATTTGACAACATTTACCCCATATTGAAGACCTTCAGAAAGACATAACAAATTTATCAACCTGTTTTTGTTCTAAATAATATTAATATTTATCAACATATCCTTTATCCGTTCTTCATTATAAAGTAATTAGTGTGTAAAATTGATAGTCGAAGAGACATCAGCTGATGCTGTTGTTCTGTTTGATACAGCTATTTCAAAAAACATTGAAGGGCCAATGGCGATTGCAAATCTGAAATGCACCGTGCATCTAAACACAAATAATCAAGGTGTTTTATATGGTTTTGTTAAAATATCTCAACAACATCTGTGTAATTTCCAAGAATGATGATAAGAGATACGAGTCATTCCAGCCATTCCTGCATTTTGGAATGGCCTATCTCCTATTGCTTTTTGCCTGTCGCTTATTATCTGTTGCCGTTCACCCCTTCAACCTTTTTTGAAATAACTGTATATCGTTTCAAGTCTACCAAAAAAAGCTTATTAGTTAGCTCATAGTTAATAGCTATTAACTATTGTTACCTCTTGTTAGGTACATGATTACTTTCTGCTCTAGAGATGCTTCAGTAAACCTGGGATACAGATACGTTTAGAGTTATTTATTTATCCCAAAGCTTAAAAAAAAAAAAAAAAAAAGAATTTAGAGAAAAAAWAAAAAATAACAGGTTTTTTGAAACAACAATCATTATTTTAGAGTACTGTTCACGTTTTTTCTGTAACCTGCACAATAGAGTGCAGGCACTAAAACCGTGAACATTAAATAGTACTAATTAGTACTATTTCATACAGAATCCTTTGTTTTCTATTGTTTAATTATCACTATTTAGTGCTAAAAATTAGTATTTGTTTCACGGATTTAATGTGAGTACTCTACTCCATTTTACAGTTGCGTTCAGTGACCATCAAAAATAGTTCCAAGCTAAGGTTGGAGAAAAAAAGAATTTAAAGAAAAAATAAAGAATAACCAATTTTTCGAAACAACAATCATTATTTTAGTGCTGTTCATGTTTTTCTGTAACCTGCACAATACTTCATTTTACAGTTGCGTTGAGTGACCACGAATAATAGTTCCAAGCCAAGGTTGGAGTTGCTGCGCATGATAAAAAGAATAGTTTTTCTTTGCATGGCAACTCCAGCCTCAACTTGGAACTTTAATGCGTGGTCACTGAACGGAACTATGGAGTATTCAACACCATTTTCATGTATTTTTGCTTTCATCTTCATCGTCTCATTTATTATTAATTTTTGATGCAAAACAACCAGAAGTTTTCTAGAAGTTGTAGAGGTGGTCTCGTACAGGCTACAGAAACACTGAAAACAGGTCTATTTAGATGCAACATTTTTGGAGCAAACATGATGTAAATATTCTATATTTCTATATAATTTACAACTATGAATTAACAAACAAATAATTAAGTAGCAATAATATTGTCCTACAAACTAAAAAAATATTAGTGTATTCAAACTTGAGTTCTTTAGTAATACAAACATTTTTGTAATAAAGCGATTTTACTTTGCTCGTAAAAGAATAGTCAACATAATACCAGTAGTAGAGAAAAATTCCATTAGGATCCCAAGGGACATAAAGGACAAAACTAGCTCCTTCATGCAAACACAGTTCACTGAAATTAGGTTTATATTTACTTGTCTTACCCAGTTTTTCAATTACATATGATAAAAAAATAACATAAAACTACACAGAATAATAAAAATATTAAAAATATAATATTTTATTTTCTTCAGATGTGATGATAATTACATGGAATGGCTTTTTTTCTTTCTAGAGCTACAGAATCCTTGCAGCATGTTCCCAATATGGCAAAGTCTAGAGGAAAGTTTTTTAAACTCTTTTGAGAAATTGAATTATTTTACCTTGGGAATAGTCCCCTTCACAGTTCCCTGCCCCATCTTGAAAGGTAGCCGTGCCTTTGCATCGAAGCGAGACGAATGGTGAGCTTGCAATGAATTACAATTTATTCACAGGTCTCTATCATTGCAAGCTCACCGTTCCTCTCGCTTCGATGCAAAGGCACGGCTACCTTTCAATATGGCGCAGGAAACCGTGAAGGGGACTATAGAGATGTATTGCAAACTACCAAAAGGGAACTATTACACCTTTTGCTGTTCATTAACAGAAAATGTACATTCATTTGTGCCAATAGTTGTATCAATAACGTGTAATGTACTTTCATCAACACCACAAGTAACATCATTAGCGCGGATCAACTTTCAATAACGACAATTGAATATGCGTGTACATTCATAGGCATCAATGGACAATCAATAGTGCGTTTGTACATTCATATGCGCGGAATGTATTTTCTTGTGCGCGAAATTCAACTTCAATTGACACCAAATGACAAACAATTGCATTTATGGACAATCATTTACCCAAAAGTGAAAATTCATTAGTGCTATTAGCATAA